AGCAGATGCCCAACTCAGGTTTCCCATGCCATCCCAATCACCAAGTATGATCTTCAACCATGAATTGCTGATTAGGTTGTTAGATTTCTTGGGGAAGAAGACTCCTCCGATCATGCCGAGGATGTAGATATGTGCATAAATTTCTTTATCACGCTCCGAAGTTTCCTCCGTGAGGGGAATGCCTCCGAACTCAGGGTTGTGCTTACGCCTGATCTCCGCTGTCAACCACGTGATGGATACTTGGCCCTTGGACAATGGTGAATGACCATCCGTATCGTGATCTCCCTTCTCTGGCGGACACAACCCGGTGACCGTCCATATAAAATGTTGCCAACCACTCATATTGGCAACAACTTTGGGTGGTAGCGTAGAGTCCACACAAACAACATCACCATTGATGGGGAGATCGGTTAGGATGGCGATGTCCTTAAGTGTGATGGTGCACTCGCCTTCACGAAAATTGAAGCAGTGTGTCTCCTTTCGCCATCTCTCTACCATCGCCGTGATGAGTTGGCGGTCGATCTTGATCCCTTTGAAATGCCGAATCGAATCCAATCTTGCCCTTTTTAGAAAGGGCAAGATGACGTCGTTCCATTCAAGCACATTCGTTGTGCCCCTATAGAGGACTATATGGTATGCATCCTAGAGAAGAATTTAAATTTCATTATAAGTTAATGATTTATACATATATAAATATATTATAAGATACAATTTATATATAAATCAAGATTGTTTTAGAGAAATATACATTATCTAATAAACATTTATTTTAACATAACTAAAATAATTTTCTAAGATGCAATATTAATTAAATCAAGCGGTGTTTATAGAAATATACATTATCTAATTAAATATTAATTTTAACATAACTAAATGATATTATAAGATGCAATATTAATTAAATCAAGGTTCATTTAGAGAAATATACATTATATAATAAACATTAATATTAGCATAAATAAATAATATTAAAAGATGCAATATTAATTAAAGCAAGATTGTTTTAGAGAAATATACATTATCTAATAAATATTAATATTAACATAACTAAAGTAATATTCGAAATTTAAGTATAAATATTTTTTGTACACATACACGTAAAATAAAATATATTATTTTGTTAATCGTATTAATTATTTTCAATAATTTAAAGCAATACAAGTACACTCGTAAGACTCTTAGGAGAGGTATACATCTCCTTAGAAACACAGTCTTTTTGACAGAAAAAGGGGGGATCCGAGGATCGCTTAGAACCCGATTTTCCCAGGTCATGGGGGGATCATGATGATCGCTTAAGTCCCCATTTCCTTAGACATGCATTTCTTTATAAAGAGTCTCAATAAGTGTTGTATTGTATTGATTTAAATTATTGAAAATAATCAATACGATTAACAATTAAGTAAATTATTGTACAACAAATAAATTACTTTAACAAAATACAAATTACAAGTGATGATAAATAATATGTACCTTGTGGTCGTTCCAAACGTCTCTTGAACGATGATTTGCTTGATCGTATAAAACTGTCGGATCAATCGGTCCTTGATCAACATAATATCGTTGATTGAAAATATCAACATCCGGCCCAACCTACGATAGCATAACAATAACATAAATCATTAGTATATAAATTAAATAAATCATTATAACAACAACAACAATTGGGGAAAATGAGTACGTACCGTTTGATAATCATCATAAAAAAGACCCTCTTCTTGAGCGAAATCGGCCATTCTCTCGGAATCCGGACAAAGGTTCGACGTTTTTTTAGTGAAAACCAAAGAAAAATTTTTTGGAGGCAGATCGGACTTAGCCGCAACCAACAAAAAAACTAATTCTAAGGTTGGGTGGGGAGGGGTTGGGTAGAGAGAAGTTAGAGGGAGAGAGAAGAGTGTGGTGGATGGTGTGCAGAAAACTAAAGGGGAGGGGGGTTTATATAGCTTTCAAACCGCGTGGGGGAGGGTCGGTGCAGTAATTTCTCGCCACCAAAAACCGCACCTCCAGCACGCGGTTTGCTTTCCCCGACGGTCAAACCGCGCCTCGGGGGAGCGGTTTTCGTTTCCCAACGGTCAAACCGCGCCTCGGGGAAGCGGTTTTTGTGGGCGACGCGGATCGCTGAGTTGGCACGCGTTTTAGCAGTCAGATCGCTCCTCTGATTGGCGGTTTGATGCACCGCCACGTGGCAACACGGTTTGACAGCCATGCAAGGTCAAACCACGCCTTGGGGGCGCGTTTTGCTCTATAACCGCCGCCTGGAGACGCGGTTTCGTTAAAAACCGCTCATTAAATGCGCGGTTTTATATAAATGATGGTATTTTTGGAAATTATTTGGTCTGGGTGGTATTTTTGTAATTTTTTTTAAACGGTGGTAGTTTTGAATTTTTTCCGATTTTCTTACCCACTAGATCGAGACCCGAAAAGCGGCAACCACTCATTCTGGAGAAAGAAAAAAAATATATCTTCCTCCCATCTCTCACCAAACTCAAGCTCCCTCACTTTGTGTCGTTCTTTGAAACACTCATCGATCTGCCATCTTCTACGGTTGGCTCTATCAACATTGACCTCGTCGGTAGACAGCTCTGTATCGCCCCATCTTTACCCGATTCGTTTTCTCAGTCATCTACCAGACCATAAACTAATTAACGCTTGAACGCGAATGCCAAATTAAAGGAAGCCTAGAGACAACACCATTTCAACCATTAAAGTATTAAACTTGTTTCTCAACTTCCTAAAGTTTGGGCAGATCAATAATTATTTGCTTGAAAACCCTGACTTTTGTAGTTCGTGATAGAGTATGAGTCTGGTCATGTTACGTCGGTCATGTTGGTTTCGTTTACTTTTCTTGGAAGATCTTTTGATAATACTGAGCTAGATTATAAATGTTAATGTCTTATTGAATCTGGACTGACTATGAGTTATGTAATTCTAATTTTAATTTCTTGAGGGATACAAGAACGTATAGTGAAGATAAAGCTAATATTACGTTTACTAGCAGTGGATGCTTAAATGCACTTTTGTATTAGGGTTAATACCCTAGTTTGGCCCGAAGTTTAGTCTAAGTAACAGTTTTGGCCCCATTTTTCAAATAAGACGTTTATGGCCCACTTTTGAAATTATTGTACAAATTTGGCCCGGAATTTGGGTTGACCGTTAAAACTGACTGTCAAACATTTTCACTGTTAATGACTCAGCAAAATCTGCTGATATGGCAACAACATGGTTGCCACGTCATTTTCACAAAAATGAAAAATAAATAAAATTAAAAATTTGAAGAGTCAAGGTCGTCTTCTCCACTCTCCCTGTTCGGGTCCACAAGACCTGGATCTTCTTCCCCTGGCACCGGCTGCTACTCTACTTCCACGAGAAAATCCTTGGGAGCTTGATCGGTGGGCGACCCACCCCAGCTGGCGAACTCCTCCCCGTTCGAATCCCCTTCGACGCCACGAAATCCACCAGCCTGCTCGCCTCTGCTTCTGACGAGAAGAACCCTTCCCTTATTTCTCCCAAACAATCAGTCGCTGTCATGCTCGCCTCTGCTTTCGACGAAAAGTCGTCGCCGTTCTCTGCTTCTAATCTTTCCCCAGCCAGCCGGCGATTCCAAGAGAAGAAGAACGAGACTCGCCGCTCTCTGCTTCAGATCTTTGGCAGCCGGCGAGTTTGCTGCAAGAAAAATGGGACCCTCCGCCCTCTAGTCTCTTGTCGCTAGAGCTACTTCCCCAGTTTTCCTTCACAAACCAATTCGCCATTTTCCCCACCAGCGGTTGAAAATCCACAGCTACGATAAGCTCTATCTCGTCTCCCATCCCCAGAGCCGTTTCCCCTAAGATTGAAATTAATGCAATCGATATTCGACAAAGATTTAATCGAAATTAGAAAAGAGGGAAAAAAAGGAACAATGAATTGAAATTGCTTACCTGCAGGGAGCGGTGGCGTCGAAGGTGAATGCCACGAGGAAACTACTGGGTTCCTCCTCCTCGTCCCCCCGATTTCTTCTCTCCACCAGTTGTCGCCGTCCTTGGCTAAGAAGCAGCAGATCGATAGAATTAAGATGTAAGCCACCTACTCAGGATTCAAGGGAAAGGGGGGGGGGGGGGGGGGGGGGGGGGGGGGGGGGGGTTATTGGATTTGGAATGGCGAAGAGAAGACTAGCCTGGGTATTTTTTGTTTTCCTCGGAGGTGTTTTTTTTTAAATTCCTTGGAGGTGTTTTTACAGAGGGCGGAGATGTAGAGTGATTCAAGGGATTATTTTTTTTTTTCTTTTTCATTTTCATTTTTTTTAAATTTTTGTGAAAATGACATGGCAGCCATGTCGTTGTCACATCAGCAGTTTTTGTTGAGTCATTAACGATGAGAATGTTTGACCGTCAGTTTTAACGGTCAACCCAAATGCCGGGCCAAATTTGTCTAATAATTTCAAAAGTAGACCACAAATATCTTATTTGAAAAATGAAGGCAGAACTGTCACTTGCGCTAAACTTCGTGCCAAATTAGGGTATTAACCCTTTGTATTATGTAAGTTTCCATGAACAAAAGAAATTGGCTAAATTGCAAGTTTGGTCACTAGAATTACTCAAAAATTTCACGTTTGCCATTGAAATTAATTTATTCCATCCGTAGTCACTTAAATTAAGTTAACACTTCAAGTTTGGTCACTGGCCGTTAGTCTCCGATAACTTTTGTTGATGTGGCGGTCAACTCTTATAGTTGACCGTTAAATGAGTGACGTGACAATTAAAATAATAATACTAAATAAATTTTAATACTTTTTTATTTTTCACCTAATTATTTTAAAATTTAAAAAAATAAAATCCTAAATAGCATCGGCTTCCACTCTTTCCTTCTCCTTCAACAACGGCGACGGCGGTGGGGACAACACCGCCACTGCCACTCCGACGGCCGGCGAAAAAGCCTCTGAGTGGGCTAACGAGCTGCAGCCTATCCCAGTTGGCCTCGAGATTGTTTCCTCCAAATGCGGTCTCGGGTTGGAAGATTGGGAGAACATGTTGTCGAAGCCCACTCAGGAACAGTCCCTCCTCTGGTGGATCTCCGGCGACGTCGAGGACTCCTCTTTTGGTTTCAAACACCTCCTTCAGAGCAACAACAGCAACAACAATCCTTTGGATTTTGATGGCAATGGCGGCGGTGGAGGGTTAGGGATTGTTGAACAGGGGAATGGGTTTGATTCAATTGGGGTAATTGGAGCTGGGGTTTCCAGCATTGGTCACAATTTGGGGGCTTTCCCTGATTCCGGGTTCCTCGGAGCTAATGGGAATGGCAGAAATGCTGGGGGTTTTGTGTCTCCCAGCTCTTCTTCTTCATCTGGGTTGGTTCATTTCAAACCTAATAATAATAGCGTTGGCAATAATCTTCCTTCTGCCATGCTTTATCATCATCAGCAGCATCCACAACAGCAGCAGGAGGAGAAGCCACATATTCTGCATCCTATGATGAACCAACAACTGATCAAGCGCCAAACTTTTTCATGCCTCTGCCATTTTAGAATCATCATCAGCTTCCTCAACCCAAGAGGCAGAATTCTGGTGGTGGGATGGAACCCATTTCTCAAATGATCCCCAAGCTTCCGTTTTCAGACCCCGGGCATCATGACTCGTTTCAGGAAGCAACATCATCAGCTGCAGCAACAGAAACATGTTCAGCAACATCAGCATTTCGGGTTTCCGCCGCAGCACCAAATACATTGTCGAAACTACGGTCTTCTCGAGGTCGCCGTGACGGCACCACTACCACCACAATAACTCGCTGTGGGCCACCCCATCGACCATTGCTTCTTCCCCGATCTGGACTGCACGCCCTCCTTCGATAATTGCGGCGGCGAACTCGACCGCCTCGTTAGCAAACATAGGGACCAGTCGCAGCTTGGGTTCCAGCGACGGCTGGTTGGTCCTCCTTCGGCCTCGTCGGCAACAACGTTTACCTTCTCAACCCGGTGACCGAAGAGAAGTTAGCGGCAAGTTAGGTATTTTTTTATTTTTAAAATAATTAGGTGGAAAATAAAAAATAATTAAATTTATTTTTTATTATTATTTTAATTGTCACGTCACTCATTTAACAGTCAACTATAAGAGTTGACCGCCACATCAGCAAAAGTTAACGAAGACTAACGGCCAGTGACCAAACTTGAAGTGTTAACTTAATTTAAGTGACTACGGATGGAATAAATTAATTTCAATGGCAAACGTGAAATTTTTGAGTAATTCTAGTGACCAAACTTGCAATTTAGCCAATTTCTTTTAAACTTTCTATTTGAAAAAAATAATAATGAAAGAATAGAGATGACTGCAATTCGCCATTTGCACATCACTGATTCGGAATAAAACTATAAAATTTTGAAAGGAAACTGAAAATGTTTAGGATCGTTTTAATGTTAAAAATAACCAAATAGAACTAAGATATAAAATAATAGCATAATATATATTATGCTAGAGAAAATAGCTTGTTTTAGAATGACAAACCCATGATGTTCATTTGTTTTACTTGATGGGCAAATCCCATGTAGGTCAGGCCAATTCAACTCTTTTATTTTATGATTAGCGGTTAGCCCATTAGAATCCATGCATTAGTTTATTGTTAATTTTTTTTCTTTTTAGCAATAAAAAGGAGTATTGTTTTCGCCTTTTCATATATATTTTACCACCACGGATAAATAAAAGGACTTCAAGAAAAAAATTGACACTCCTGGACCCGTTTAAATCCGCATGTGTACGATAAGTTAGCCCGTTCCATAGAGAGAAAAAAATTGACACTCCCTATTCTACCATTCCTACAAACGCTCATGGAGCATGGAATTTGAAATGGGGGAAGAGTTTTTTCCTCTCTACGATTATATGTTTTTAATTTAAAAAGATACAACAAATGTAATTACTACTTAGTGTGATTGATTATGATTTTTGCTTTTCTTTAAAGTGGTCATGGTTCGAATCCTAGTAAGTGTCTTTTTAATGAATAAAAAAAATAATTGTAAATACCAAAATGTCATTTCTACTTTCACTCTGAAGGATGGAGGAAATCTTTACTATATATTATGGCAATTCAAAATCAATCTCTTGCCACATAAGCACTTGGAGGATCCACAATTTGCCAAGTTGGACAATTATTTTACAAACAAAAAAATTAGTTATTAATGTATTTATGGAGCTATCTCTCTCTTCTTTAATATTTCCATTTCTTTTAATCATTTTTTTTGCTTTAATAGTAGGTTACAAGTTGATAAACTTAACCAAACACACATAAATAATAATTTTTTTGTCCAGTAAAAAAATATAAATAAGAAAACATAAAGTAACATATACAACATTTGTTTAAATAAAAAAATTAGACAAACAATTAGACAAACATACACATAAGCATAAACATAAACAATAATGTTTTTTCGATTAAACAAAAAATGTATATGAAAAGAGAGAAAATAAACATTTGACATTCAATTACATATGAAAAATAAACTATATTACTTTATATTTTGTTGCCATGAAACACTCTCTTATTCGTAAATTATATGTCTATAAAATAAAATAAGTATTATTTAGAAAAATTTCCGAGTATAATCTTGATCGAGTAGTTATAGTTATTTATTTAAAAAAGACTTCTTATTTGTCGGATCATGTTCTACCTTAAACTCCTAAAAAAATTGCTTTAATAGTAGGTTACATGTTGTTAAACTTAACCAAACACACATAAATAATAATTCTTTTTTCCAATAAAAAAATATAAATAAGAAAACAGAAACTAACATATACCACATTTTTTTAAATAAAAAATATCTAATTAAACCTTATGAAGTAAATCTTTTACTCATTTTTACTAAAATTGAATGATAGTTACATTTTGATGGAAAAATTATACAAACATACACATAAATAATAATATTTTTTCGATTAAACAAAATTTATATGAAAAGAAAGAAAATAAACATTTGACATTCAATTACCTATAAAAAATAAACTATATTACTTTATATTTTGTTGCAATGAAACACTCTCTTATTCGTAAATTATAGGGTAAATACAATTTAATATCCAAACCTTTCATTTTAAACAATATAATAGCCAAACCTTTTCGAAAACAATCTAATATCCAAATCGTCAACTTTTCGTTCGTTTGACCGTTAGTTGACACTTCAAAAAAGTTCAAAGTACGACGCTTCATCAATATCCATCGATATCTTCTCTGAAAAACCACCAACATATCGTGGTTCCAAACTCGAGAAGTCCATGACTCCACCATGATGGTATAGAATATCTAAATATTCAGTCATCTGCAATGCCAAAACAAGAAAACAAAGTTGTATTGTGTCAATTTCCCCTAAACAAAGCTTTTTTGAAGTGTCAACCAACGATCAAACGGACGGAAAGTTGACGATTTGGATATTAGACTGTTTTCGAAAAAGTTTGGCTATTATATTGTAAAAAATGAAAGGTTTGGATATTAAATTGTATTTACCCTAAATTATATGTCTATAAAATAAAATAAGTATTATTTAGAAAAATGTCAGAGTATAATATTGATCGAGTTGTTATAATCATGTTGTATAGATAATAAGTTGGTTGCAAAAATTGGTTGTGCTCTTTATCCAGTAATCTCACATCTCAAAATTGGTTGCCAGTTCGTCCAAACTCGAGAAATACGAACTGATATATGTTGTATAGATAATAAGTTAATGCAAATAATCAAATGAAATCCACTGATATTGTTCAAATGATAAGGCATTTTAAATGCACTTGAAATATGTGTGTATTGTAGACACTCTTTATCAAATATTAATATATGGGTGATAAAATCTTTGAAAATTACACATTCAACGACCATGTTAAGACCAAAATCCTCGATAGTCTGTGCGAGTGTCTTAGATTGAGTTTCTAAGCCGACATATAAACAATGACCACGGGTGGAACTTCAAAAATTAACAATTGATACATATTGTATAATATACTAAATTTAAGTGTTTTGATAAAAAAAAACTAACATCCAAAATGGAAATGAATAGAGATTATAGAATTTAATCATCACGAGGGCTACGGTGTGTGTCAAGTTTCAATATGGATGTATAAATTGATCCAATAATGAAGTATCTTTACTAAGAATGTCTCACTAAAAGGCCCTAATTTTACAACATTGGTCGAGAGTTCGTCCAAACTTGAGTACCATGAATGTGTATTGGATTTCCAAAGGACCTAAAATGCCAATCCCTTTCGGGGGCTAAATACATCTTATTACAACCATAGGTGTCAAGGAAGAATGTAAGAAGCCCAAAAAAATAAAAATAAAAAGAACATAACCTCTGATACGATAAACATAATAAAACCATATCGAGCTATGATCCTCTCATCCCTACCCTTTTATTCTCCATAAAGGGGGCGGCGGGAGAGGATAAAAAATAAATAGCAGGATCTTAGGATTTGTCTCTTTATATATTACATATCAAACGATAAACAACCTCAATGGTTGTCTGACGTTATGAGGTAAAAGCGGGATCTCTATCCCGAGGGTGGGGGATAAGCAAGTAGCACTCTTAATATGAGTATTAGGCGAGATAAGATAAGTCTAGCGAAGTATCTGGAAAATTTTGAGTCTACTACACACACACACACACACATATATATATATATATATATAATATCAAGGTATACTATCTTTTGATTTTACTCAAGATATGATAGAAGATAGGTATGACAAAGTATTTGCATAAATTAGAGGTTAGAGAATTAGGGATTAGAGTTCACCTATTAGAGGTTAGGGTATAGTATCATGCCCCAAGAAACTCCGGAGTCTAAATAGTAAAACTCAATGGTCGAATGGTAGTGCGTGTGTGGTTCAGGTTGGCGTACGCTAAATATTAGTGTTTTGGTTGACAAATTTTGACTTGAGTTCTAAATGGGACGTGACAGCGGCATAATTTATGATTAGAAAACCGAAGCATAAAAAGTGAGTGTGCTAAATATTGGAAATTTTCAATATAGACATACTACAAACTCTTTTATGAATAAGAACACAAACTATTTAGAAGATTAAAAATGATTTAAACATATAAATAAATAAATTAATATAAATTATAAAATAAATCTCACCGACCTGGCCGGGTAAAAAGCTAGTTTATAATAAGACATGTGTGTACGAGTTGCTGCTGCTCGAGACTGGCGTCACAAAACCTGTCCCTTCATTCATTATTTCATTTACATAAATTGCGCTCTCTAGTCCTTCCTAACATTTTTTTTTATTTCCCGAGAGACAAACTTTGGCTGTTTGTATATTACGGTTGACCTCCTACAAAAATGACTGGTGGTTTGTAATGTTATGATTATGTGAAGAATAATTTAACGGTTATGTTGTTAGTGATGTATTTGATGATAATTGAATCGATAGCTGATTAAATAGTAAACGGTCAATTTTTTGTAGTCAAATTTAGTTATTTATTAATAGATGGTTAATCGATTAAGCAAGTATGAACATTCTCATAGTTATGGCCGAAAATAATAGGCATCGGAATGAAGGAAGAGCTTTAGAAGAAGCACTGTAGAAAGTTGGACTTGCGAACAGTATGTAACTCAAGAAC